GGCATTAATACTGTTCTCACTTTTATGGTGACTTGTAATAGCCTAATTTATTAGGAATCCTTGAAACCTGCATGAAATAGCTTTGTGTCTGTCATTCTGTCTTAGATTTCTAGAAGTGATACTAGAGTTTGTTTCATAGATTCATAGATGCTAGGGCTGGAAGGGACCTCAACAGATCAAGTCCGATCCCTTGCTGCGATTCCCCTAATGAATTTGTAGGCAGCCACAAGATCCACCTCAGCCTTCTCTTGCGGAGGCTGAAGGGGTTCAGGTCCCTCAGTCTCTCCTCATAGGGCTTGTCCTGTAAGCCCCTAACCATACGAGTGGCCCTCCTCTCGACCCTTGCAAGTCTATCAGCATCCTTGAAGTGCGGTGCCCAAAACTGAATGCAGTACTCCAACTGCGGTCTGACCAATGCCGCATAGAGGGGAACTATCACCTCCTTGGTTCTATTTGTCATGTATTTGCTGATGCATGATAAAGAGCGGTTAGCTTTGCTGATGTTAGCATCTGTTTTCAGATGCTTCTAGTTTATCTCAAAATCACGTAAATCTAGTTTTGACTCATTATGTATATGGTGCTCAGTACAATCTATATTTTGCTAAACTTGAAAAGGTTTTTAAGAAACAATTTACAAGCACATAATTATACTTTTCTTTATGGAGCTTCAGTTAAGGAACATTTAATAAAATAATTTGTCTTGCGATTTAATTAAATATTGGTTAATACTTAATATTAATGACTTGTTAATAGTAAATACAGATTTTCATCTGTGCTATTCTTTTTTTTTTTCCTTTGTCAGACAAAAGAATTAGGCTAATAATTTCACTGTTATTCAGTCTCTTGTGAACTGTGAGGTGGAAGCACTGAGGAATGGGTGGCGAACTGTATTTGATTCGTGTCTGCATCTGCCTCTCAGTTAGCAGTGACGGCTAGAAATTGCTTTTTCTCATCTTTGTTTTCCAAAAGGTTTTAGTCTCAAATGCAAACATTTTTACACTTGTGTAGCTGCCTGATTACGGAACTTATAGTTCAGATTACAGTTACAGAAAAGTTACAAACATGTTTTCTGAATGCCCACAGATTTGTTGAAGTAGGTACCATAATTACCTTTCTTGGCATACCCATGCTTTTTAGTTAGGTGTAATCTTAAAAACCTTTTGGAAGTGGGTGATTTTTGTGAATGCTGAGAATGAAAATAGTAAGGTTGGGATAGTGACTGTTTCAACATACATTTGTTACAGTTTTGGTATAACTCACTCTGGCAAAGGGAGCAGGAAGTCTGCAGCTTATCATCAAGAGTTAAGAGATGAGTGGTGTATCTTAATTTGTTTAAAAAATTAAATAAATCCTGTGTTGCAATTACTGTGGGTTCCCTTCGTTCATCTTCTCCTGATGCCACCTTCACTCTTAGTATCCTAAAATCTTAATTTTCATTCTATAAAATTGTTGCATTGTGGCAGCACAGGATAGAGTTAAAAGTTGTTTAGGTAACATCTAAGGTGTGTTACCATACCTTAATGTATTTTGGTTTGTGTTTTTTTTTAAAGCTTCAGTGTATATCTGAATTCCCCAGGTTTTGTTTTGGTAGCATTGCACATCCCTGTAATATGTTGCCTTTTATGTATACTCTAAACATGATATGTATTAGCACATAGAATATATTTATTCATTTATGTCTCGTATGTCTACAAATATATGTATATTTTAATATCACTTGTTGTCTTAGGTTAAAATTTAATATTTTTTGCATTAACAAGTGGTCTTTTTATTGGGTTGTATAGATGGTACTCGAATAGATTAATTGGTAAATAAAATGTGTTACATGAATATGTTTGGAATTTTAAAAAAATTCCCAAAAGGTAAAATTTGATGCAGTTTTCAAAGGGGTTGATTGTATCAAACAATATGAGGTTTTTCAACATTAGTAATATTATAAATGCGCTTAGACTAGCTTTTTTCAGTATTAAGCTATCAAGTGAATTCCCTCTTCAGAGAATCTTTCACATTTGATGTTACATGGCTATAACATGCTGTGTAATATACTGATGTATTACTGGTTTGCTTCATTGCAGGAATTTGCAGCACTTACTAAAGAGCTTAATGTGTGCAGGGAACAACTCCTCGAAAGGGAAGAAGAAATAGCTGAACTGAAAGCTGAAAGAAATAATACAAGGGTTAGTTACTTGCCTGAACTCTTATTGGTGTCCTTTATTCAATTTTTAGGGTTTTTTAAAAGTTTTTACTATTGAGATTCATTGCATGTTACCTGTTTTTCAATATGTTGTTAGTGAGAAGTAGCTCAGACTAGAAATTCTTCTTGTTTTGTGGATACCCTTCCTGCTGGTATGAGCTTGTCAGGTATTTCCTATTGCACATCCTTGTGACTAGCAAATAATCTTCAAACTTCAGATAGAGGAAAATCTAAGACTTGTCTAAAAAGAAGCTTAAAATGAAGCTCTCACAAAACTGGTGACTTATTTATATATGAAAGTAAAAGAGTGAGTCAAGGTCTGTATTATAGCATTTCTTTTTTATTAAGTTAGTACAGGTTAATATTAATTCCTACCTCCTGAGTGATCAGTTTTGTTCAGTTTTTTTAACGTATCTGTGCTTTAATAATATTCTTTAGATAAAACTTTGAAAGCAAGGAAATATAAATTTATTTATTTAGTCTTTGACTTGGATTTCAAATTCAAAATATAAATGAAATGTTTTCAAAAGCAAAGTTACTTTAATTTTAGACACAAAGGAGTAAATATCTTGGTTTTTTCATGTATTTTGGTTTTTATTTCAGCTATTACTAGAACATTTAGAATGCCTAGTATCCAGGCATGAAAGATCTCTTAGAATGACTGTTGTAAAGAGACAAGCTCAATCTCCAGCAGGAGTTTCTAGTGAAGTTGAAGTTCTCAAAGCACTAAAATCACTATTTGAACATCACAAAGCCCTTGATGAAAAGGTAATGAAAAATCTCTCTACCGTCTCACCTCCCCTCCATGAATGTGAAAGCAGTGTAAAACTTTTTAAAGAGTAGGTGCCATGACTGGGCTTAAAGCTGTTTCAAGGCAACTTCAACCAGGGGTTTGCAATCAAATGGCGCAGAGCCATTTGATCCAGCCCATGGATATGGAGCAGTCAGTGGGGGGAAGTTCAGCAGTAGGTGTTCTTCCCGTGCTGCTGCATGTGGCGGTGACTGAGTCCTAGCACATGGCTACCCATGTGTCTGTAACCCAAACTTGGTCAGTCTAGTCCTCAGCCTTCAAAGGTTGCTGACCACTGATACTTTTGCAGTTGCAGCAGCAGTGCGGACTGCTAATTCAGAGGTACTAAAGCAAAGCTGTATTTGCCACCAGCACAGCTAAATACAGTAACTTAACAAAAGTTGTACTAGTATAAGCTGTACTTTGTGTAAGTACAGCATATCTATATTAAGAGTTAATACACTGTGCATTACTGCTATAAAAAAAAGTTTTTAATTGAGGACTAGAGCCCTTTTATGCTGGTTTATGTGCATGCACAAAATAGTCCTTGTTCTAAAGTGTATATACTCTTAAAACAGTTGTTCCCAAACATTTTGTACCAGTAGACCACTGGCAACCATGAAGCTTTTCATAGGCCTGTATGCATCTCTGTCATTAAACTTCTAACTGAAAAAGGGGGTTGCAAATCAGATGTGGACCATGGCCAAATAGACTACAGTCTGGGAGCTACTTCTTTAAGTATGAGGTAGTGGACAAGTGGTAGAGTGTTTTGTGTGTTGAGTTGGGGTTCCAGAGGGGTCTGGAGGAGAAAGAAAGTTATCAGGGAAGGGATTAGTGATAGAGGTGTTGGAGATGGTATGAAGAAAAGGCTAAGGACAAAATTGGGGTAGAAAAGAAGGAAGCAGGTGATCTGGATTTTTAGGAGTGAGAAATAGATGGGGATAAAAAGAGGATATGAGCAGTATAAGGGGATATAGCATACAGTGGGTAAATGGAAGATGGAGTGAAAGGAAGAGGCACATGTAGGAGAAGTGAGCATGATGCAGAAAAAATAGTAAAGTTAAAAGATAGGGAGAAGAAGCATAACAGGAATAGAAAGGGAATATCTCTTTTTCTTTTAAAAGGGTCTATTAAGAGAAAATAAAAGGCATTACCTACATTGTTCAGATTTGAAAAGAACTCTAGGATGATGGTCCCTGTAATAGAGGGGGACGCCACTGTTCATTCCACTGAACTTTCAGGTGTTATGTTCCCAAACCAATAATCAACAGTGAAGTGCTAGTCCAAGGAATTTTATTGATTCTTATTGTCTGGTCCTGATCAGTGATCCAAAATTATTTAAATGTTCAAGTATCAGTACTACTGGATATAAGTGATAAATAAGAGAAAAAGTTGGGCAATACCAGAAAGAGTGGGGAGAGGTGCAGGGAGGAAGAGGCAAAGATGGTAAGGAAGTGGGAGGGAGAAAGACACCTGATAGCTGCTGTCTGGGGACTTCACTTTGTAGGTGGACACAGGTTCAGATGAACACTATGACCCAACTACCAGTTTCATTTCCAATTTTTGTTTGTAAACAATTTTATAAGATTTGTATAATTGATTAAAATGAAACCCACTATATTCTACATGGAATTTAAATACTAGAAATGTTGGTATGTTCTCTGAACTTGAAAAAGTGAGGTAAATTTAAAATGAATTTGAATACAATCATGTTTTAAAAGGGATCAAAGACATTGCCTGCCTGCTTGCCTGATAGGGCAGTTATGGCTTTTTCTTCGAAGGTCTTAATCATTTTTCTAAGAGAACCTTTTCTGTGGCGCATGTTAAGGCATCAGAATTGAGTTTGCTTTATCAGTTGTTAAAACATTAGGTCAAAAATGGGCATAGTGGGGTGTGAAGCTGTGTCTATAGGCATGGCTGAATTTAAAACTTCAGTATGATTCAGAGTGCTTTGTGATAAAAGCTTTCAAGTGGTTTTAGTGATAGTTATCAAACTTCATTTTTTCAGGTAAGGGAAAGGTTACGAGTAGCACTTGAAAGATGTAGTTTATTGGAGGAAGAACTAGGTACTACACACAAAGAGGTAAGTTTCAATTTTTAAATGGGATTATAGGGCATGTTTGGGGGAGTTTCTGTCTGAACAGTATTCTTCAAATATAGTAATGGTTCTAAACTCATTTTCTTCCACTGAATGGATTTCTTAGTTGATCCCAGAAAGCAGAGTTTGACTTTACCTTGCTTAGTTTATTAGAAGTCCATGCAGGAAACAATGAACATTATACAGAATTATTTTTTTCTTAAAAAGGACTGATGATAGGTTTGGAACTGTCTCAACTTAAAAGCACTGATCTTCTGAACATTAAATCAATGATATTTATTATCACAAGTTTGCTCCTCTGCTTCAAGATACTGTTGATGCATTTAGTTCTTATTTATGCAGCTAGTGTAATGCAGCTTACCCTGACGCTTTAAATTTTTTGTTTTAGTTAATGATTCTAAAAGAGCAGAACAGTCAAAAAAGAACACTAGCTGATGGGGCATTGGATATAAATCACGATCAAGAAAATACACCAAGCACAAATGGGAAGGTAAATTTGTGGGATTTTTTGATGGTTTTTTGTTTGTTCCTTTGTTTGCTTTTTGCAACTTACAGTAACTGTGCAGCATTGCCATATATAAACTGTAATGATTATTCAGTCTCGATGATATAATTAAGGCAGAAGTCAATTTGTACAACTTTATTATTGAATAGACTGCAAAACTAAATTTAGTTTTGCCGTATAGTCAGTCTAGCATATTTCAAATATCTGTGCCAAGTGGACACTTAATACTTTTTTTTATTTAATAGAGATCTTCCGATGGTTCGTTAAGTCATGATGAAAACCTTGCTAAAGTTATAGAACTCCAAGATATCATAGATAAGCAGAACAAGGAGCAGACCCAAATGAAAGAACGTCTCACTGCTCTTTCTAGCAGAGTAGCAGAGCTGGAAGAAGATCTTGACACAGCTAGAAAAGATTTAATAAAATCTGAAGAAATGAACACAAAGTTGCAAAGAGATGTACGAGAGGTGAGGTGTGAAAGAATTGACCAAATGTTTTAAAATTAAATTAAATGTCCTAGAACTTTTTGTTTACATCTTGTTTTTTGAGCAGACTACTTTGTGGTTTGACATACGAATCAAGAGTAGAAAAAATAATTTATGATATAATCCTTAACCAATTGATTTATTAAAAAAAAAAAGCCATGCACTTGTGATATTTTTATTTTTAGTTTTAAACTATGATTACCTAGATCTTTTAAATAATAGCTGATTATGTATTTCTTCAGTATCATTCCACAGCCCGCAAACATTTTTTTTAAATGCTTACCGTAATATTTTACATCCCAGACTATTTGTTGAGTTCATGTGTGATTGCTAAAGTTCTTTAAAGAATGTTTTTTCAGTAATTTCAGTTGTGTACCTTCAAATGGTAGTAGCTTCATTTTTTTGAAGTGACTTAAGCACTGGCTGCTAATTCACTGACCTGTGTGGACATTTTCCAAAAAGTCTAATATTTTTTTCCAGCCAAGAGGAAAACGAGAAGAATCCTCCTAATTTAAATCAATGGTGGACAGGATTTAGATCAAGAAAGACATTATACCTAGCTCCCAAAATGCAAAATTAACTTGTTTAAAGCTAGATTTTAAAATGTTTCAGAATGTGTTACTAAAGACATGGATACCCAAGTGAAACACTGCTGGATCAGCAATATCCTATAAGACTATTTGATTTTGTTCTAGTAACATGTATGATTTAGAGTAAATTTCATAATTTAATAGCAACATACTTTTAAGTAGATGTTTCAATGCTGATACGTTTTATCATTTCTGCATGAAGTGTTTTCAGCTTAGATTATGAAACAAGTAATTCATACTTGATTAACTAAATGTAATTTTTTTGATTCTGACCAATGTTTTTGATAATGTAGGCTATGGCTCAAAAGGAAGATATGGAAGAGAGAATTACAACTCTTGAAAAACGCTACCTCGCCGCACAGCGTGAAGCTACATCTGTGCACGACCTCAATGATAAACTTGAAAACGAAATTGCTACTAAAGACTCTATGCACCGACAGGTAGTAACCTTATCTATGAACATACCAAATAGAACATACTTTATATTTTAATAGGCTAATAATCAATATGGTGCTCCCCTCATTTATGCCTTTACTTGTATGTGATGGGTGAGAACTATGCACTTTGTAATGTGTATAAAATGATGGGTAATGGAGTAAAATAGAAGGGAAGAGGAGAGATGCTTGTCTACATGTTGATCAAGATTTATAAAAGTTCTTTAAATATCTCATAGGAATCCTCTGCCCTCATCTGTTCCCTCTGTTTCATATACTTTCAGTACTTCAACTTGAACCCTCTGGCGTGATGGAACAACTGTGTTCTCTACTATTTACAAATGTGTTTGAAATTTAACAGGACATGGGATTAAGGAAGAATTGCTGCTACCCAACCATTCCCAGTTAAACAGTTTCACTGATTTAAACCTGCTGTTCAGCTCTACTTTTGTACTTGTGACACCTATCGTAATTGTATGAATCCCTGTTTTCTGGTGTAGGGTCCCTACCAGCCTCTGCTGTCTGTGTGCCTGCCTCTCAGTTTTCTCCCCAAAACGCGTGAAATCCATTTATAACTTCCTCTTATGAACCTTAGCAAACCTTCAGGAGAGCTGGGGCAGAACATATGCACATGTAGTTGACTGACGGCTAGAGCCACAGCTCTGAGGGACAGTAGGATGGACATCTGGCTGTCTCTAAGGTTCTGGAAGGGAAAGAGGCTGGTGAATGAAACACAAAGTATTGAGAATCTACCAGGAAAGTGGAGGCTTGATTACAACACGATGAGCGTAAGCTTCACTGTTTTACTGCTTTTAATAGCAGGTGGTAGTGTTTAGGAGAGCCTTTTACATTTAACTAATGTTAAGAGCTACTTTATTTTATTGGGGAAAATGGTTTATTTCGGATACTTTATACGGTTATGTGAACTTGGAATGGTTATAAGCCAGTCATTTGTTAACTGAAGGAAATAAAAGTCAACACAAAGTCAATAAGAGTAGCTTAACCCTTAACATGCTGATTATATTTATTTTTAACTTTTTATAAACTAAGTGTTAACTTTTAGCTCTGGCCTGTATATTTTCACTTATAATGAAGGAATTTATTTCCTTTTCTAATGGCAAATCTCAGTACAATGATATTGGTCACTACTAAGTCCTCCATCCTGTGGCTGTGTTGATTCAGGAATTGAGTTTTTAGTGCTGTGGGAAAATGCTTGTGTGACAACTTTTTATTTTTTTAAATTTTGTGGGGGAAAACTGTTTTGCTCAGGTTTAGCAGCACTTTTACTCTCTTGTGGGAGAGTGACACCTGTGCTGAAAAATTATTTTACGTAAGTAATAAATCCAGTTGTATAACTGCACATTTACTGCCTCAATATTTGATGAACAAATTTTAGTTATCACTTCAGTAGCAAATGGCACTTGTTGCAATTCTTTTTAGAGTGAAGATAAAAACAGGCAGTTACAAGAACGGCTAGAACTGGCTGAGCAGAAGTTGCAGCAGACTTTGAGAAAAGCTGAAACTTTGCCTGAGGTGGAAGCTGAACTGGCACAGAGAGTTGCAGCACTTTCAAAGGTGGGCCAGTAATACAGAGCATTGTAAGAGTATTTTCTAACTTATTCCAAGTACAGGAATTTTGTTGTCAATCTTTATTCTTGTTGTTCTTTCTGTTTATCCCAACTGTGTCAGTATTTCCTGTTTTCATGCTTTCTTTCCTACCATTTTAATAATCTAGTATAAGCATTTACATATAAGTGACTTACCCTTTCTGTATTTGTGATATGGAGTTAGCTTGTGCAATTCCTGCATCAGCTTTGTGTGTTGAAGTGCCTCTTTTCTTCCTGTTGTCTCTTGCTGTGTTTTAGAATTGCTTTAGCAGAAATAGTTAAAAAAATAAATAAATAAAAATAAAAATAAAAAAATTGCATTTTTTAAAAAAAATTCTTTGATACAAATATTAAGTTATCTTGAATAGGAAGAGGAAAGTCTTTTTTTTTTCTTCTCTTTTTGAGCTAAATGCAGATTAAGGTGATGATAAATGCATAGTCAAATCTCAGCTTCCATTTTAAGTCCTTAAATGGCTGCAGGTTGAAAAGTAACTTACAGCAAATATGTGTAGCTGTTACAAATGAATCTCAAGTGCTTTGCAAGTCTTGGTTTCATTTTTCTGTTTTTCCTGTTCCTTATTGGCTTTTGTAGTCTGACCTTTTGTCTTCTGGAAACTCTGCTGCTAAAGAGGCTAAACTGTTGGAACTTAACTCCAAGCTTAGGAAGGTAGAACTTGTACATCAGTCCTTGTGTCTGCTTGCTGCTTTCTGCTTTTTTAAATTTCTAACGAAGGCAATGGTGATGAGAGTAGAGAGGAAACAATGTGAACGCATTTATAAATATTTTGCATTGGTGGAGGTGAGAGTGCAAATTTTCATAGTGAGAAATTGGTTGCCAGTGACAACTGAACAAGGAAATACTAATGAGGATTAACTACTCTCCATCTTAATGTATGGGTCCTCATTAGGTCCTGGCAGTCAGTAATAGGCTTTGCACTTTTATATGAACAGAATATAGCTGTTTGCGCAGAGCATGTTATGCTTGTTGCTAGTGCATCAGTTTTCACTATACTATTAAAGACTTCTGAATACTAGTTCTAGTTTGTTTTCAAATTGGCAGGCAGAGGAAAGGCATGGCAACATTGAAGAACGGTTAAGGCAGATGGAAGCACAACTGGAGGAAAAGAATCAGGAATTGCAGAGGGTATTTATCTACATGTTTTTGGTATAAAAAAAATCAAGTTCTGATTCCATGTCTGCATGGCAGCTTAGTGCTGTGTTTTTGGGAGAGCTACCTTGCTCATATATCCAAACTCTACTATAAGACTAAATGTTTATGCCAGTGATCAGTAACATTTTGTGGGAGGTGAGGGGGCACTTAATTGTTGCAGCCATTGTTCCATTTGCAGTGCTACCACTTATCCCTGCCACCTGGGCCAAGCGTCATTGCTGTAATGCTGCAGAAGTCGGCTGGCTCCATGGGTTGGTTCTGGTCTGCAGGCCATAGGTTGCTGACCCTAAGGTTATGGTTGCTTGGAGATCCGATTACTTGTTCTTCTTAAATCTTAAATTTTAATCTGCAGGTTTGAGTTCCCAGCTAAAATTTGAAATAAAAGTTTGAAGGAGCCAATTTATTACACTTCTTTTAATGATGATTAGGTAGAATAACATCCTCTAGAGCAGGAACCTACACCAGAACCAGGCAATGAGCAGCTGTGTAAATTGGGCAGCTTCCAGCTGTGCCTGTACCATTGCTTCTTCTCTGCTGTCTTGGTTCCAGTCTGACATGGGCCAGGTGGTTTGTGGTACATCTGCAGTGAGGTCTTTCCATGCATTTGTGCTGGGGCCAGGCATCTGGGAGCTGCATCCATATCACCGTTGCTTTTTCCAGCTCCACGCTCCCTGGCTACAGTGTGGGTGCAACTTCAAGCCAGTGGGAAACTGCGCTGGGATTAGGTGTCTGCAGACTGTGCCTACGATTCTGCTGCTGCTTCTCCTCCCCAAACACCTCTACTCCAGGTGTAGTGCAGGGGCAGCTTCTAGTTGTGCCTATGTTGCAGCAGCGGAGAGAAGTAGTGGCAGCATAGAGTTTGCAGGTACCTTGTCCCCATACAACTTCTCTCAGCTCCCCAACACCCCAGCTGTGATACAGGTACAGCTTCCAAGCTGAGAGAAGTGACGGTGGTAAAACATGGGGAAACCCACTTGCTGCTGATGTGCTGCCGAAGCCAGCTGGCCAGTGTGGGACCTGTTTGAAACTCCTATTTGAATTTGGATTCCTCTTTGAAATCTCTGGGTATCTTGTAAATCATGTTTGCTCTCCTAACAGTGCTAACACTGAGGCACCCCATGATACCCTTGGAAGGATCTTGTGGCATCCCAGGGTGTTACTGCACCCTGGTTAAGAATCACTGGTCTAGACCCTGTAAATGGTGGAAAATTAGCCAGAAGAATGTAAATGGGTGGTGTTGACTCTCTCAGCTTTGAAATCTGCTCAGTCATCAGACCATAAACCTGGGTTTAAAATGCTATGGATTTAGTACTTCTGATTAGCTAAAGATCTTGTAATGTCCATGCATGTCTTGGGGCACCTGGGTATCTAGGTTTTGAAGAAAAGAGTAAGTGAGAGTTAATGAAGCTCAAGGTTTTCACAACTTGGCAGACTTTCCTGTGCGATGCTCTTAAGATAATCTGTGGAACAGATTACAGCAACAATTTTATCCTAACAAAACTGTCAATCTTTCCTGAATAATTCAGGCTAGACAAAGAGAGAAGATGAATGAAGAACATAATAAACGCTTATCAGATACTGTTGACAAGCTTTTATCTGAATCCAATGAGAGACTTCAGCTTCATCTGAAGGAAAGGATGGCTGCCTTGGAAGATAAGGTAGAACGTCATTTAACATGTAATTGATTAGTCATATCCTGATATAGCATTATACAGCATTAATTGAATAGTCCTCAATTAATCCTTTACTGATAAATAGCATCCATTTAGAGATGCTGTCAGCATGACTTTTTTTTAAATGGATTTCAAAAAGGCTCTTGGTTTTCTTGAACCATTGTTACAACAAATTGTATGTCATGAACATGATTCTTAAAGCAAAACATTCTGAGTGAGTGCTTACCCAAGAACGTTTTTTTTATTCCCTACTATATAATTGAACGTGCTCAGGGTCATACAGTAAGTTTATTGAAGAGCCATAACCAGAACTTACATTTCAAACACATTTCCACTCTGTCTCTCTGATAATATTTTTTGCCTAGTCCTGGTTATTTCTGGATCATAGTTTCATGTTGGTAGGGTGGGAAGGGACCTTAGCAGATCATCAAGTCCAACCCCCTGCCATGGCAGGAAAGAGTACTGGGGTCAAATGACCCTGGCAAGGTGTTCATCCAGTCTCCTCTTAAAGACCTTCAAGGTAGGAGCCAGCACCACTTCTCTTGGAAGTTGGTTCCAGATCCTAGCCACCCTGACATGGTGGTAATGTTGACAGCAGGACCCCTTTACTTACTACTTTACTATGAAAATGATTATGAGGTTGTGTAGGTTTATTTCCATAGCCATTAATTGCACACTTGAGACCCCTCTCAATATCCTGTCCTTTCCCCTGCTAATTTAGTTCATTTTCCAGATGGGTATTGGCAGCTTGCAGGACCTTAGACGTACTGGTTCACTTTCATACTTAGCTGTCCATGGTTTTCTCTTCCAAAGAGTGTTTTGTGTGTTCCATGAAGGATTCTTTCATCAAAGGAGTGCTGTTTGTGGTAGCTTTCTCTTTCTCTGATACTAATTTCAGTTTACTTTCACTGAAGCATGCAGTTTTCTAGTCTCTTTTTTTATCTTGGGGTGCTTACCTGGGGGAATTTATACTGAAAATTTAAAGTAGCTTTCTTCGAAGTCCCGGGGTCCATATATTACTTATGCATTTATTGCATGACCTGGACATTGTTTATTGCATGACTTGGACACTGCTGCCCCCCACCCGACCTCCCTTCTGGGGTAGAGCTGCAGCCTGAGGGGAGCGGCAGCCAGGCCATGGCTGCAGGGTACAGCTGCAGGCCTGTGCAAGAGGGGCTGACAGTGGGAGGAAGTGAAGTCAGGGTGGCCCCCTGTCAACATAGGTGCTGGAAAGCCAGAGCTAACAGGACTTAGCTCCCCCAAATGTGGGGCAGCACATAAGGCTGCAAGGCAGCCCGGCCGCGAGCTCCGACCAGCTGCAGCGGGGAGGGGTGTTCATGCAGCCAGGATTACAGCCTGGCATGTGAATGACTGGCTGCCCAGCACAGTAGGCAAGTACCAGTCTACTCTGTGAAGGGGCTGGCAGGGTGGGGCACAGGGCAGATGGAGGCCCCAGCAGTGAGGGAGGGAGCAAGGCAGGGGCTGGGGTGAATGGGGCCCAGGTCGGGTCGCGTGGTGGGACAGCTGG